CATCCCTTACTCAGTCTCTCTTCTTTCTCCCTCCCTTGAAGCCATGTTTGATGCAACCCTCTTCTCAAACTACATCTGCTCACAGTTTGAGGGAAGGAGCCCCTCCCTCCCAAGAGGGAAGTTCACACTCTGTCTTCCCCATGCAGAAAAAGGGTTTTGTGTTATTTCTTTCCTTTCCCTTCATCCTACTGTCCAGCCCTCACACCACTGGGTAAATTCTTGTCTCTGAGTTATTGAAGGAACAACAAGGAAGCGCTCTCGTCTGTGCTCATCACTCTGTTCCCAGGCAGAGTGAGGAAAGCACTTACGGTGTCATACTTCACTAGGCATTGTAGCAGCCCTTCAGCATGCATGTTTCAGATCCAACCTTAATGTATTCCAGGCTGTAGCACAGGTCCCAGCAGCCAGGTCAGTCTTTAAGTTCTCAAGGACTGAAGTGCTGCTTGAAGTTATCCTTCCACTGACTGCTAGGCAAACCACTGGACAGCTTGATGGTGTCAGATATCATGATGAATGATGTAGCATTAACACCTAGAGAAGAGAGGAGGAAAAGCTGGACAAAATAATAGGAGACATGACATTTATAATATAATTCCCCTCTGTCCCCCATGGTCCCGCACCCCCAAAGCTCAATCTTGTCTAACATGCACTACATTAATACTAGACCTCTTAGACATTAAAATGTCCCCAGATGGAGAACCACATTTCTACCTATTTCACTTATTAAATAAAATCTGACTGTACCTTGGACATTTAAAAAAACTTTTCTTGCCATCTTTGGCAAAACCATAAACCCTGGTTACTGTGACAGAAGAATAGTATCTTATTAGTGTAATAATATGTGAGACAAAAGGGAGCACAATCACGTCCTTTGTATTAGAAACTGTATTAGCCGATTTAAAAGTTCTTTCACTTGTCACTAATTCATCTACCACTTCCTTCCCTGATGTTTTAGGATTCTATAGCCGTATGAGTGTTTTAAATGCATATGGAGAAAGCCCGTTCTATGTAAAAGCACTTCTTAGTACAGACCCATGCACTTTGCAGTCCAGCCTTCTCATTTGCTCGTTCTGGATTTGAAGAGCTGCGTTCTCAGTACACAGATTAGGCTCTGACTGTAACTGCCTTTGTGGGATATGTGAAAGTTGGCGACACTGCCCGTCTGTGCCACTGTGAAAATGTAAATCTTGCCAATCTGCCAAGAAATAGCTGTACTATCTTGAAAAAGCTGGTACAGGAATGAGCATAAAGTGCCCATCCCATTACATCTGCCCTAAATTCAGATCCCCATACATTTACCAGGAACCCCTAGCTATAAGTCCTCACAACCTATGCTAAGAAAAAAGCTTTTAAGATATTTTGAACTGAAGTTCATTGTAAAAGAAGGAACTAGAGTAGGGTTACCGGATAGCAACTGTGAAAAATGGGACAGGGGGTGGGGAATAATAGGCACCTATATAAGAATAAGTCCCAAAAACCGGGACTATCCCTTTAAAAATGGGACATCTGGTCACCCTAAACTAGAGCCAAGCCCAAACCAAATCCCCAGATCTGAACACAGTAAACCCCGGGGAAGTTTGGATCTGGTTCTGACTTCCATGTCTGGCTGAACCCTATCTGCCTTACTAGACACAATGCTCCTTTAATAGGAGTCTTAACAACATGGTTATTGGCAAGATTTCACTTGTTCAATGCACTATTTAATACAACTATTTTTTTTTACCAAAATCGTTTAGCAACAATGAATCTTCTGTCCATGAAGAAGGGAGCCTGAAAATGCCAGCCAGAGGAGGAGGAAGAAAGAAGTTCACTGCCACTCTTGTTCATTTTAAATAGGTTTCTAGGAATGCTGTGGGATTTTTGGGTTTGTTCTCCATGGGCTGAATAATCCTGAGTTCCAACTGTTGCTTCCAATTAATGGATATTTCCCCTCACTGCATGCTGCAAATTGCACTTAAAATATAGGGCTTCAGCCACAAGACCAGCTTTCTCTCATCCTTCAAATAATAGAATAAAAGGAACATGTACAATATATGTACCTTGAAACTTTGATAAATATCTTTGTAGTCTCATTATAGTGTACAGGAATTGGGTGGTATCCCTTTAAATAGAACATGCGCCCTCTAGTGGTGCTCTTTGTGTTCTGTTCTTACAGAACCTGACAGAAGAGCAATGTGTATATGTAGCTGGGTCTTGGATGCCGTAAATCAGAGCTTCTCAACCAGGGGTACACGTATCCCTGGGGATACGCCAAGGTCTTCCGGGGGTACATCAGCTCATCTAGATATGAGCCCATTTATATAACAGGCTACATAAAAGCAGTAGCGAAGTCAGTACAAATTAAAATTTCATACAGACAAAATGAGAAAGTCAGCAATTTTTCAGTGATAGTGTGCTGTGACATTTTTGTATTTTTAGGTCTGATTTTGTAAGCAGGTAGTTTTTAAGTGAGGTGACACAGGGTACGCAAGATAAACCAGACTCCTGAAAGGGGTACAGTAATCTGGAAAGGTAGAGTCCCTGCCGTAAATAGTAAGCACGGTTATTTGGACTCTACTGTGCCTGTGTGGTTCCTTCATATTACATTTGTTGGGTAAAGAGCAAAAGACACAAACTCATGGTTCCCTTCAACTTCCGGCATTTGTCAAGGAGTCAGAAAAATAACATGATTAAAATATGATAAAAATATGAGGCTCAGTTTAATTTATCAGCTGTGATAGGTAGCTTACTCTGTGGCAGGTCTGTCTTTTCACATGAAGATTTAAAAGTAAACAGAAACCTAATTAGAGGGTAAATAAGACTTCAAGAACTAGTGGGAGTACAGATGATGAGACATGAAGGAAAGGGATGGAAAATGTTCCCTCTTTCTCGCAATTTAGAATTGTGTATAATGAATCCATCACTATGTATTAATCATGAACCAAACATTTTTTACTTATGCTTTTAAATCCAGTCTCCAAAGAGCAGTCGATGGAGGGGAGTTTAAATGACCCCTCACCAGAGCTATAGCAGAACAGATACACTAAAATCTAGGCTTTGCTAGCCTGTGAAAGAGCAGAGAATTGTTGATACCATGGGGAGTAGCAGTTTGGAATCATACCAGCTAGAGAGAGACCCTGCAACAGTAGATACTACTGACCCCTTTTGTAACCCTGACCCATGTCATGAGCCTGGAGCTAAGAAATAAAAGAGCAGTCTTTTGGTAGGCCCCATACGTCAACCTATGCAGCAGTGGCAGAATTCCTATTGCAGTGTTCTCACCTGATCGCTGTAGTTGTGTGCACTTTGTGTGAGTGTTGTCATGATTTGGCTCTGATGGAAGAGTAATTTTTTAAAAAAGCCTGTGGTTTTGTTTGTTTTTTACTTTGTATACGCTACTTAGGTTGCCTTTCTGTTGATCTGCAATAACATTCCAGAAAATTGGAAATAAGCAAGTCCCCGGAGTAGCCCCTCTTAATTTTCTTTGTAAATAACTGATGTTTTTGTACTAAAAATTCAGCCTAAGACTTGTACACCTCGTGGTGACAATAAGTGCCCTCTGTCAGGTCGGGGCAGAAAAATGTTATGACAGCTGCTGTCCTAAGCAAATGGGTTAGGGAGCTGTGTAGGGGGTGGTTTTCTAGTTTTGTTTTTTATCTGTAATGAATAGGCACTGAAAATAGGAGGAGAGAAAATAAGAATTAAGAGACTGTAAAATTTCAGAAACCTTTGGTTTCCCTATGCACTTTTGTGAAAAGTGCTCAGTTCCCAAAATAAAATAGAAATGGGATTTCAATCAGTTAGACCCCATCAACTGTGATCTGGCTGTAAGAGTTCATAATTTAGTCCACCCTCTGAATTTCAATTTTACTTCTTTTAGGACATTAATGAATTTAACATAAGGGCCAGACTTTCATGAAGTTTGGACAGTTCTCACCCACTGATAACACCTATTGCTTTCACACACAGTTGTCACAATTGTTCACATGCTAGACTTGTGCATGCACAATTTCTGATGCCCGAATAGTCACTAATGTGTGTCAATAGCCAATTTGCGTGTTCCATCACAGTAACTGTACTCAAATTAAGTGTGCTATTGCAAACACAAATATGCACCTAGCTCTGGGCTTTTTTTTTTAAAAAAAGGGGGGGGGCATAAATGCATCATCCTTTCTTTTGTAATAGCAAAATTTTCTTCCTCAGTCAAAGATGAAAGCATGTAAAAATAAAATATATCAACTTTTAAAAATATTTTCTTGAGTAATACAGCTATTTTAGGGGAGTGATTTTCTAATGCTGGCTGCATAGTTACTATGTGTTGTACACCTTTGTGTGAGCATAATAGGGAAGGAAAGGAGTCCATGTTTTATCTGTGACATAACCCGAAAGATATTGCGATGTCAGGCTATCTGGGTGGTCATGACCACTTGGTCTAAATAAACAGAAAGAAAGAAGAGTGGATATGCTAGAAGACTCAGGGTAACATCCCATCCTATATTTTTAGGGATGTCATTTATTTAGTATCTCATCTCCTGTGAACCATATAACATAAAGAGCTGCTGATCAAGTGAAAAGTATGATTTTGAGCAATAACCATGCGACGGATCAGTCAGTGTGATACACATATAATATTTTGTTGTTTTAAAATAAGTTTTGTCCCATATTTTTCATACACCCATTATTTATGTCTTTGAAATGCAGGTTCATTGACTACTTCATGTAGTTAATCATACGGCTTCTTTGTGAAACCCTGTTAACTTTATTTAAACTTCCAATTTTTCAAAAATGAAACAATGAAAAATTGTTCCTATTTTTATCAAACTTTCTGCAAAGTTTATCCTATTTTGATTGAATACTTTAAAAGAAAACGTATCAAAATGTTGCTTTGTTTTCCAAAAACAAGGGTTCAGTAAGCATACACAGTTTATGGTTAAAAAAAAATCATGATTTAGAAAAAAAAATCCTGCAAAATGGAAATAGTTGTGAAATTTTTCACAAAATTATTTTCGATTTTTTTCAACAGCTTTAGTCAGATGTAATGGAAATTGTATCAGAAAGTATCATAAGAGTCCTAAGTTATCAGCTGAGTCAGAACATCATTTGCTATATGGGACAACAAATCATTTAAAAAATAAAGATTGCAATTTTCCATCATTGTGCAAAATATTTGATCCTTAGAAGGTGGAAAGCTCTTGTGGCTCACTTTTAAAAGATTCCATGTCAACCTGCCAGGTATCGCCTTACGTGAGCATAGGGTTTATAAGGTGAATCATGAAATTAAATAATTTTTTATAATATGGAAAAAAATTCTCTTATCTAAAGAAAAATAGAGATGTGCAAGTAAAAATGCACATGAGCCTCCTGGTTGGAGTTGAGAGGGTGAGGTGGTTTAGCAGTCCAGGATTTTTTGACTCTTAGCCATAATTTTTGTTCCATAACAAAACTTTTATTACTTGTTTTAAAATCAGTGGAGGTGTTTATCTAATGGAAGTTGTGGGGAGGAATGTAGTGAACTATGTGGTAGGAATGTGGAAGCCATTTTTGCACCTGTATTTTGCTGAGTTTTTAGAGGAGGAATTGAAGACTAATTTATCCCATTAAAAGTACAAAGGGATTTTCAGTAGGGAGAATATAATTACCCAAGTCAGAATTTGACCAGGACACTGCAGGTCTGACCCCTAATTTTTGGAAGAGTTTTTAATTGGTGGTGGTGGTTGGTATAATGATGACAGTAATACTTAGAGGCCCAAGTTGAGATCACAGACCTGTTGTGCTAGGCACTGTAGTAAGAGAAGTCACTGATCCAAAGAGCTTACGGTATAGACAAAGTGGGGTGGGGGAGGGAGAGGAGGAAGCAGAGGAGCTGGGAGTGAAAATGACTTGCCCATTGCCACACAGCAGGTCTGTAGGAGATCTGGGAATAAAACCTGTGCTGCCTCTCAGTGAGAACAAATCGTATTAATGACCACAAGCAGACAGGGGCTCTGTGTTTACATCTCATCCATCGAAAGGCAGCATTGGCAGTAGCACAGCTGATCACTCTGTATAGCGTTGGTTCAGTGGCTTGAAGCTGGATCCTGTAAGGTGAGAAATGTCTTCCATTACCATTGACCAAAGTAGGAGCTGAGGGCGCCTCTAGAGATAAGACATATGATGAAATTGCCCATTCAGCACCCAGTACTTCCTGCACTGCAGTCCTTGGATTATCCTGGAAAGTTTCAGGCCTCATCCTGTTTAGCTTATACAGTATAGTATAACATTTATTTTTAGGGCCAAATTTTTTAAATGGCCTCCAATTTTCCTCCTATGGTCAATTGTGAGTGCAGCATTTTGTGCACTAGTTTAGACTTCTAAGTACCAACTCTAAGAGGCTAATTAATTAAGATGAGCAATTATCAGCAGGAGAAAAAAATCTTTTGTAGTGATAATCAAGATGGCCCATTTCAGACAGTTGGACAAGAAGGTATGAGGATACTTGACCTGGGGAAATAGATTCAATGTGTGTAATGGCTCAGCGATTCCCAGTTTCTATTCAAGCCTAAATTGATGGTATCTAGTTTGCATATTAATTCAAGTTCAGCAGTTTCTCGTTGGAGTCTGTTTTTGAAGCTTTTCTGTTGCAAGATTGCCACCTTTAAGTCTGTTACTGAGTGACCAGACAGGTTAAAGTGTTCTCCTACTGGTTTTTGAATGTTATGATTCCTGATGTCAGATTTGTGTCCATTTATTCTTTTGCATAGAGCTGTCCGGTGTGGCCAAAGTACATGGCAGAGGGGCGTTGCTGGCACATGATGGCATATATCACATTGGTAGATGTGCAGGTGAACGAGCTCCTGATGGCGAGGCTGATGTGATCTGGTCCTATGATGATGTCACTTGTATAGATATGTGGACAGAGTTGGCATTAGGCTTTGTTGCAAGGTTAAGTTCCTGGGTTAGTGTTTTTGTTCTGTGGTGTTCTGTGGTGTGTGGTTGCTGGTTCCAACCTGAAGCAAATACTCACCAGCAACCACACACCAAAGAACAAAAATATTCTATGATTATCACTACAAAAGTTTTTTTTCTCCTGCTGATAAATGCTTAATTAATTAGCATCTTAGAGTTGGTAGGGCAACTCCCACCTTTTCATGTTCTCTGTATGTGTATATATATCTCCTTACTATATGTTCCATTCTATGCATCTGATGAAGTGGGCTGTAGCCCACGAAAGCTTATGCTCAAATGAATTTGTTAGTCTCTAAGGTGCCACAAGTACTTCTGTTCTTTTTGCGGATACAGACTAACACGGCTGCTACTCTGAAACCTGAAACTCTGAAAATAATCGTCATACCTAGAACTTTTCATTTTCTGCACTTACTCTGGCACTTGCTCTGTTTTACTTCTCATGGAGTCCTGTTGACCTTGTCCCTCTTCATTGCTTGCCTGCTGGTGAATCCATAATCCTGGAATAAGTTGCTACTCAAAGTGAGTAAAGGTTACAGGCCTAGGCCCCAAATAAGCAACCACTTATATTATTTTGTGCCAGCGAAATCAAGGAACAGTTTCATACCAGCATGCTGTCAGGTGCATGACCCTGCTCCAGACCTTGATTAGAGAAAACAGTAAGCAAATTGATGTCTTCTCCTTCCACCTAACAAAAGCATTGGGGAAATGTATATTTGGAATTCATGGAGCTATGTGGAGCCACCCCAGTCCAGTAGGTGGAAATTTCTGTGGGATATTAAAGTGGTCAAAAGGGGCAGGGACAATAGACTAAGGCCTGGTCTACACTGGGGGGAGGGGGAGAATCAATCTAAGTTACGTAGCTGAAGTCAACGTACTTATATTGACTTACCATGGTTTCTTCACCACGGTGAGTCGTCTGCTGCCGCTCCCCCGTCGGCTCCACCTGCACCTCTCGTGGAAGTGGAGTACAGGAGTCGACGGGAGAGCATTCAGGGATCGATTTATCGCGTCTAGACTAGACGCAATAAATCGACACCTGCTGGATCAGTTGCTGCCCTCCGATTCGGCGGGTAGTGTAGACATACTCTAATTGTGACTTCTTTGTTTGCATGGCAGTAAATTCCTTACTGAGGCATGATCATCACCCATCATGCTGGCCTTTCAGTGTGACAGTCCAGGAGACAGGTGAATTGAAATGTGAGCCAAGGGGGGGGGGGGCCCACATTTGATAAAACGATTTTCATTTCAAAAGGTACTGTGATCAAAATGTCTTTTCATACAGTTTTGTGTTGTTTCCTACCGTGATGTGGTGCTTCAAAGGGAATATGCTGGCCCCATCACTCTCAGTCACTTTTCAGTCTTGGTTACTGCAGGCAGATACCAGAGCAAAAACATTAGCAGCTGGATGAAAAGTTTGAGCCACCTGTTTTGCATTTTTAGCCGTTTGCAATAATTAAATATAAAACAGTGTCTTAAACACGTTGAATTTGTGGCACAAATGGACAAAATCCAGGAAATGTCAAGGGAAATGCAATGTTCTGTCATGAAGTTATGCCATTTGCTTCGTTCCTACCACAGTGACATCACTAGAAGAACACAGCCATCCTAATTGAGAGGTGGTTGGGTAATAAAAACCAGATACACAAATATATTTGTGAATGAAAGCGTGTGTTGTGGTTCACTATCATTCACAAGATTGAGTTTTTACCTATTTGGAAGTATCCAAATAACTATTGGGTAGTCATGAAAATGTTCACAAGTCACAAAAGTTTCACAGGTTTTAGCACAAATCCTTATTCATCCAAAAATTCATACTTGGCAGATGTTGTTTGGTATCCATTATTTAAAAATCTATTTATTAAAAAAAAAATTGTCATCCAGTCAAGAAGTAGAAACATACCATTGGCATAGGTGCGCAATGGGGACCTGATCCTGACGGGGGCGCCTAGAGGTTACTGTAATATAAATATTGAACAATAATGATGATTAAAAACAGAGGACGCTATTGATCTGCTGAAGTTGCTGTTGAATGTGGCTTAAAGTTTCTCTTCAACCTTGTCTTCGCTGCTAAAAAAGCTGTGGGGTTTCTTACCTTGGGGTAACTAATTTGCATGAACTATGCCGAAGTAAAACCACAGTGAAGACAAGGCACCTTAGTTTTACCATGAGGTTGAGGTAAACTCTCAGAGATCAACTCAACAGGGAGTGGGGTGAAGAGCTGACTCATGTGCATTAAGATAACCCACAGTAAAAAAATGCATCTTTTTTAGCAGTGAAGACAAGACATATGTTTCAGCATGGAAAACACTGTTTCAATCCTCACAGACTTCAAAGGAAGCAAGGGGAATTCATGAGAGCCTGATTATCATAGTATAATCACATTACTGGAGAGATTAGAGGCACTTTGCTGTGTCTTTGTGAGTTTAGTGACATGCCAGAGCCATCTTCAAGTGCTATTAAAATCTTCGTTGTGAGATGCTAAGTAAATAGGAAATATTTTACTCATTGGGATTAGAACACAGAGAACACATTTAATTCCCTCATCAAAGTGACCCAGACAAGACAAGACTTGCAGAAGGGTCCATGCTGCCTTCACTGGACACATTTATCGAATTGGATAGCTAGGAAAATATATTTGTTTAAACGGTAATTTCATATCCGTTCAAGAGTTGCACATTTAGGGGTAGAATTCCACACTGATGTAATGATGTGAAGAGTTACACCAAGCGAAGGCATCACAGCAGTGTTTGAAGAAACCTTGATTCACTTAGCATTGCTGTATCTGAGTTAATAGATGACTGTTTGATTACAAAGGTGATGTGCTCGTTTTCAGCATATATTTCAGCTGTGTTGCCTTTACATCATCATCTGGCCTTCAATTCAGAGCATGTCATTGATATTTGCCTCGGATTGAAAATGAGGTCAGAAGAGAGACTGCAAAGCCGTTTCAGATCACAGTCCGCCCCCTTGCAAATGTTACAGTTCCCACACAGAAAAAGTAGAAAATATTAAACAGATGGTACACTTGACCTCAGCCAAAAGACCAAGAAGAAGCAATTGTGACACAAGGGTGAGGGTCTAAAACTGTAAAAAAAAATCTGTCCCTGTAATGAAGAAAGATCATGGGGTATGTGGTGAGATGATCTATCTGGGCTGGGAAAGGAAACTGGAAAGCTTAAAAAAATTAATAGAAAAATATTTTTAAAATCCCAGATTAACAACAGGTTAAAATGACAAACAAATACATTTTTTTAAATAAACCACAAAACCTTTTTCCTGCTAAGGCCTGGGGTCAGGGTTCCCTATGCCTCCAGCAACAGTTGCTGAGAATGGTACTCGGTAAGGAGCTGCATTCCTTACTTTGTTCCAGGCAGTTAGTAATGGTTACAACACTTGCAAGGGAAACACAGAATCTGAACACAGGTCCTAGAAGGTAAGTAAAAGAGGAAGTGATTTAATTTTTAAAATTTTTGTCAAACTATATATTTATAAATTTAGACCAAATTCTTTGCTGAAATAACCCTATTTAATTTAGCTGTGTTTGCCAGTTGATAATATGGCTCTAAATGGCTACACGTGTATCAAGTGCAAACGATATTGGGTTTAAAACTGTATTTGTCTCTTTTGGATTATCTCTGAATTGCCTGAATAGATACTACAAAATGGTAACACGAATCTCTGTTTTTGAGTATACAGTTGCCAAGATTATTTTATCAGGACTCCCAATTTTATGCAAGAAGTTCCCATGTCTGTTCACTCACCAGGTTGAACTGGCCTTCCAATCTTTTATAATCACCTTTGTATGCATGATATTAACAAGGGGGGGATAGCTCAGTGGTTTGAGCATTACCCTGCTAAACCCAGGCTTGTGAGTTCAATCCTTGAGAGGGGCCATTTAGGGATGGGGGCAAAAATCTGTTTGAGGATTAGTCCTGCTTTGAGCAGGGGGTTGGACTTGATGTCCCTTCCAACCCTGATAGTCTGTGATTCTAAGTGTTTTCTTAACAACTATCCTCTAATGCCAGCAGTTTAAATGGGAATATTTTACTCTCAACCGGTTGTGCTTTTACCTGCCTTCAGTAGATTTATTTTCTGGGCACGAACTTGAAGAGGCACAGCACCTGCAGGAAGTTCATATTTATTGTTGACACTTGTGAGGCACTAGCATCAATGTGTGTGTCCCTTTTTGATTGAAAAAAAGAGAATTGCAAAGAGAATGGACTATGCTTATCAATATAGAAGAACTTGGCCTATATGATCAGCCTATGTTGTTCTTAAATACAGCTTTGCAAAATTCTCAAGACCTGACTTGATTTTAAAGTTTACCTCAAATAACCAGACCAGCATGTGAATTATCTTGTTGATTTCATTTACTAATATTCATTGCAGCTAGAACTAAAGCATGTTTTCTTTTATTTTAAATGTTGTTCCAACTGGGACACAATACTAGTTAATGAAAGGAGATTGTCTTTAACCTTATTTTTGTGAATATTTTGTGTCATTGCATTACAGACACTCCACTTTTTAAAAACAGTCTTTAGATTTGGGGAAATGTAACACATACTACAGAATGTTGATATACATCTTCAGTCTTCTGCAAGTAACATGAGAATACCTGCAGTAAGCTCCGTAAGCAGTTACAGATAAGTGGATTCAGATTTGGTGCTTAATTTGTGCCAGAGCTTGGCAGGATTGAGCCCTGGCACCTCTGGGCTTGGCAGTTCATAGCCCTGGCACCTGTTGCTACATCAGTTATGAATGTAAAAAAATTGCTTGAGCCCAGCATCTAATTGCTTAATTAATTACAAATTAAGCACCCTTCAGTTTACACACACTCTTACAAGACAGCTCTGCATAACTCAGCCTTCGTTGTGATTTCTGTGGTGATATCAGAACAATAAAAGATGTTAAACTGTGTATTTGTCTCTACAGTTTTAAAAAAGTTTGCCATCTTTTGGTAATGTTTAGTTACTGCATTATTTCCCCTGCTAATGGAGCCATTGTGGGGCTCTGGTTGCACAAATTGTGTCTGAATACAGATCACAAATATAATGTATTGTTTACACCGTCAAATTGCCACCAGAGTAACACTTTCTTTTGAACTGTAAATTAGTTTTCAAAAATGCTGCATGTTCTTGAGAATTTAGTGGAAAAGTTTGTTGGCTACTACAAAATAACATTATCTGCATGAGAACGAGGAAATGGACAAATATGTTTTATTTTTATAATATTATTTTGTAGTGGCTCATGCATATAACTGGCTTAATCATTTCCCTGCCATTGCAGGGGCCTTGAGCATTGATGCCCCTTGCAGCTCCGTCTAGAGTGACCAGACAGCAAATGTGAAAAATCGGGACGGGGTGGGGGGTAATAGGAGCCTATATAAGAAAAAGACCCAAAAATCGGGACTGTCCCTATAAAATCAGGACATCTGGTCACCCTAGCTCCGTCCCTCCTGTTCTTTGCCTGTGGCACATCATAGTTTAGTCTCCTGTGGGCTGTCATACATTGGTCTTCTTTTCAGCTGTTGGATTTAACATGCAGGCGCTGGCTGCTGTTGGTGGTTTATGACAAACAGGAGGGCAGACTGATGATTTGGTGGTCCCTTCTGGCCATAAACTCTATGACTCAAATATGCTGTTGTGGCTGCATAAGCAATTACGCTCTGAACCCTTTTTTCCAGTCTAATTTGTAGATGTGATCTGAGCCAGAGTTTGGGCAGATGAGCCTCAGTGTGGGAAGCAATTTTTTTTTCAAAATGGTTTAACTTTTATCAGCACAAAAAATACATATAGGGCTTCAACATGCAAAATGCTGCATTTTTGGCCCCGGCCAGCAAAGCAGTTATGCATATGCTTAACTTTGTCTCATTATTTCTTTGTGTCTCCCATGTATCTGTCTGTTTCTAGCTGTTGTCTCTTGTCTTATGCTTAGATTGTAAGCTCTTTGGGGGCAGGGACCATCTTTTTGTTCTGTGTTGGTACAGCACCTAGCACGATGGGGTCCTAGTCCCCTTGAATTAAGTGGAGTGACTCCTACTTTACACTGGAGTATTTGAACAAAGAATTGGGCCAGTAGTATTTATCAGATTGGTCAGCTGCCAGATCAGAGTTCAGCATTCTGCATATCCCCTGCAGGAGATGATGATATTGCAGCTGCCTAAAGCTTTTGCAGGACAAACATTATGCTCTGTGTTTTCTTTTTATGTAAACCCTACAGAAGGTGAACACTTCCCTGGAAAATGGCATTCATGGCCTTTCTCTTCCTAAAGTTAGTCAGGATAGGAACAATGATGGTGCATAAGGGCTAGGGGGCATGACCTAAAATCCACGTATTGTCTACCAAGCAACAGAAGAGGACATTGGAGTCCCCACCGATCTTGAGCCAAGTATGGTGATAGTCTAACATCAATGTGTTTTCTGAGTGCAAGTCTTCTGATTGCATGTGACCCATGCAAGACTAAGCATTGTATTGCATTTCCTGGCGTCCCTCTGTTGTGTTTGATACCTTTTCAAGTACAGATGTTTTGTACTTATCTTTAAAGCTTGGAACTGGAGGGGTTAACCTCATCTAGAAGTAGTCATCCTGATTTCAAATGCCATCCTCCTCCATTGTTCCTACCACCTGATGAATTGCCAGAAGTCCTCCTGGAAAAGTAGGGTATCTCATTATTTGTGTAATTCACTCTTTACGCTTCAGTCTACATTGTCTGAAATACTTCTGATGAGTATTATAACCAATAATGTACAGGGGAACCTTCAGAGATCTTTCCTGATCTGCCTACAGTCCTCTGGCCAGTGTTGTTATATTTGAGACATTCAGGGCATTTGTGAAGCATGGAAAATTTGACTTATCTCTTACTGTAACCCTTTCAGGGTCGACCGGGACCTATTGGGAACCAAGGACCTATAGGTGCTCCAGGATTTACTGGGCAAGAAGGTTTGGCAGGGGCAAAAGGTGAGAGAGGGGCAGTGGGCTCTCCAGGATCAGCTGGACTGAAAGGAGATAAGGTAGGTTCAGTAAGTGCTTTCCTCTTTTTCCCTGCAGTAGATGTGATCACAGCAGCTCTTTATGAGTGAATAAAAATAGTACTGGACTATCTCACTGCTGTTAAGTGGATATACTATTTGAGAAACATTTCCAGAGGAACCACTGTGTTTAGTCTGAGGGTGACAGTCTTGGTCACTGAATTTAGTCTGAGGGTGACAATCTTGGTCGCTGAATTATACAGGCTAGTATATACAGTCCAGCCTGTCATCTTCTGTTGGCTGATTCACAGCAAAATGGGCTTCAACATCGCATGTGGAGTCTTCTGTTTTACATAACCATCAGAATGTATTTTGCCCTGATATAAGTCACAAGAAGAGATGAAAGAAGGGTGGGGCATTACTGGGATACCCCTAGAGGGAAATGTAACTGCCTTGCCTGTTTCAGACAGTCAGACCCTACCAAAGTTAAGTGAATGATCATCATGTTGGGAGGTGAAATTCTGTGTTGGAAAGTGCAAAGTGATGCACAATGAGGGAATAATATATAAATTACTTCTACATCTTACCATGTTCTAAGTTAACTGTAATAACATCGTAAAAAGACTGGAGCATTATTGAACTCAGTGAAAACATCTTCTGAAAGGGCAGCCGTGGCCAAAATAGCAAACACAATTATAAGCTATATAAGGAATGGAATGGAACATAATACAGAAGATATTATCATGCTATTAGTGATCAGTTCTGTCACCCCACCTCAAAGGGGACAGAGCAGAAACAGAGGGCGTTCAGAGACAGGTGATGAGAATGAAACAAGACATGACCAAACCCTCATATTAAGAGAGATTGAAAAGATTGGAACTGTTTACCTTAGAGAGGAAACGAGTAAGGATTCAGAATAATGACTGGGGTAAAGGGCAGAGAGGGCATGGCTATTCAGCCTTTCTCCTAAGACAAGAATAAGGGACATTCAGTGAAACTGAAAAGCAAAACCTTCAAAACTGAGCAGAGGATATACTCCACCCCCCTTCCCACAGTGCACAAGTGTCCTGCGGAACTCATTGCTCCAAAGTGTTGCTGAGTCTGAGGTGGGCAGGATTCAAAACAAGGATAAAAAGAACATCTAGAATTTGAACAATAAGGGCTAAAACAATAATCAAGAGTTCTGGAAGAGAGAAACTCCCCTGCTTTAGGGCAGAAGCCAGCCTCTGACTATCGAGGATTAGGAAGAAACTTTCCCTGAGGGACGCTTATCCTGGAGCTGCCTGCTTTGCACCTTCAATTGAAGCAGCAAATATTGGCCACTATTGAACCACTTGTCCGCTCCGGGATAGCTGTTCCTATCATAGACCTTTTCTTTGACTATGGAGGTACATGCAACATCCAGCAGCTCTAACAGGTTGGCAGAGACAAGACAACGTTAATCAGTTGGAACAGATGCAGGAGTAATGTAAATTAATGTAATGTTTTGCATATTTCTCAGCTGGCAACATCTGAGAATAATGGTCTAGGCTGGTACAGACAAAATCGCAGATCCAATTGTAATATTTCTTGAAACATTTGTGAGGCCAGGATTTAATCTGTATTGAAAGCCATGTATTTTTAGCCTGGCATCACACTGTGCCCCAGAGGTGCAATAACAATTTGTGTTTCACTTTTAATATAGTGAGTGAAAACATTTTGGGGGCATTAATTTGGCAGCCTGTCTGCTGAGCATCCTCAGTTCCCATCTCGTTGACTGCAATGAAAATGAAGGAGCCTGGGTGCCTCGTATGAGACGTTGTACTCCTTTCACTGAGCATGTTTGATCATCCACCCTCCCAAGATGTAGAGTAAAAGAGTTACCTGGGTGATATATGGTACTATATAAAGAATAAAATGGGTGTGACTGACAGGCTGGTCCAAGTAAAGTATTACTTGTGCCCTCTTTCCTTTAGGGTCCAATGGGAGTTCCTGGATTTCAAGGCATCAATGGAATTCCGGTGAGTTTTTGTGTGTAAATATTTAAATATAAGGCAATTGCATTTGAGCACAGAGACAGCATGTGCAAGGGCACAATGCCAGGCTCATCCCAAACCTTTTCTATAATATTTATTATAATAATCTTAATGTAATTATTTTACCACTTTGTCTTCTGTTTGGGGTAAAAGGGGAGGATTGATTAGACTCCATAGGCACTCCATGTCATTCTGTAAGGGACTCCGATACCTTGATGGTGAGTATCAGATAAATGGACATTTGCAAGGGATACATCTGTGTTGTATAAGAACGAGAACTGAATCTGAGGCATGTTTGCATCTATAATTCAGCTTCACCAATGTTCGAAGGTGTTCACATCCGACATTTTAGTTCAGAACTATTTCTAGTAAACTCTTGTTGCAAGTGAAACTGCTAAATTGGAGTAGAGAGTACCTACAGAGATTCTTTGCGTCCCATACTTGGGGCTAATTAGTTCTAATTTGGATCTGGGCTGGCCAGAACATTTTGCCAATAAAACAGGAAAGAGGCAGCTACAGCTTTTTCCAGATAATGGAACCAAATACAAACTCTCCCCAGCTTATCCATTATATTTGGTTTCTTTTTCTTTAGAACTTGACAGAGAACTTGAATATTTTTTTGTCAAAAAATTGTTTTCTATCAGACTGAATTTTCATCTCAAATTCAAAATCCAGACTATTTTGATCTGCTCCACTCTGTTTTCTTGCAGCTCTTCTTGCATAGATGTCTTCCAGGTCCCTTCCTTATTGGTTCTGGTTTTGTAGTGGTTTTTTTTTTTAAACTAATGCAGACTACCCCATTCTAGTCTTTTCTGTCTCTACATTATTTGGTTCACTCTGCATTTTTTCCCTTTCTGCATTCTAATTCTCTTCTGTTCTTTGTTGATTTTTTCCATCTTCTGTGTCCTTCCTTCTCCTCCACCATGTGTTTTCTCCCTCATTCTCTTTTCTAGAATTGATTAAATACTCAAAAAAATGACAGTTTCTGAAAATGTTTGTTGGAAATGAGCAGTTGGGACCTTGTGGGCTAGCTGTGCTCTGCTCCCTCCTGTTCCACCCAAGTTCCTCTCCCTGCCTTTACCGATTTCTTTCTTTTCTCCTTCCCCTGCTCATCTTTTGCCTGCTTTCTGTGCTCTTCTGCTCCCTTGCCACTGAGGTTTTTTTTTCTTTTTCCATCAGCCAATCTTCAAAATGTAACAAGACTGAGCTGTTCCCATAATATTGAATATAATTGAACACACTGTGGGAACAAGCTGTTCTCAGGGTGTTTTTTCAAATAAGGCTCTGGGGAGTGGGAATTCCCAACATGGGAGAGGGCGATACTGTTGTGGAGAGTGCCAGGTAGCTGGCAGCTACAGACATTCCAAGCAAAGGCTAGGGGAGTTAGACAAAGGGGATTTGAAACCTCATGCCTGTCTGGATCTGATCTGTTTTCTTTACAGCATCCTGCAGGTGGGTGAGTGGGAGGAGGCTGATTTTGCTCATTGTGAACACAGATTATTCAAGAGTATGGCCTTTCTTCCTCTGAACTTCAGACTGGATTGGAGCCATCTTTCCCTTACAGATGCAGAGAAGGGGCAGTGGAAACTTTAAAAGCAGTGCATTTTGTTTTCATTCTTGCTGCTGAGATAAATGGCTCCTTTTCATGGTGAAAATAGAGAATCCTGCTGCTTGGGAAAATATGTATAGTTCTCCAGTATTATTGTAATCACATTTCAGGATAGGGAAAAGCTTAGACTTGCTGTGAAATACATATCTACATTCATTATCGTGTGTGTGTGTGTATGTAAAAAACACATTGCTCTGTGCACAAGAGTTAACACCATAACCACTCTTCTGATTATGGTGTGTGGGCAGGAGGGTGAGTGAGTGGGTGTGTTTTATCAGTACTCCAGGGGTTTGCCCAAAGGGGACTCCTAATGGTGACCCTGTGGTAGCCAGCCGAGGTCGCCTGTGAAATGTTGGTAGCAGGTAAATCATGGTGTTGCAGTTGGGCTGATGCATGCCTTTGATCTAGTACATACAGCAGACGCATGTGTTTATTAATTGTTAGCCTTAGACAGATTGTAGAAAAGGCTCTTAAGTCCTCCTCTCTACTGTATATGTTTAATTTTTCCCATGGGGATTAGATTCAAACATATCCCTGGCAAAGGTTTGGAAATAGAGATAGAAGATTTACATGGTTTTAGCTGAGTATACAGTACTCTAAAAGGAAATGTTTCTACAAGTCGTGAGTCATTGTCTGTGCCAGGAAACACAGACCTGGGGCAGCAAGAGACTATATTTTGATCTTGGCACTGGTCAGAAGTGGTCCCTTGTTCTAATGATAAATGAAGCTGCTTATTAGATTAGTTTTGCATTCACTCTTGAGTGCATCTGTTTCTCTCTTCTTTTAAACATTTGTTGAGCTCTCCTGTTGAGATCGCCTTTGCACTAAGTCTGTCTGATTTAGAAAGTAACGGTGCCACAAGGACTCCTCGTTGTTTTTGCTGATACAGACTAACACGGCTACCACTCTGAAACCTGATTTAGAAAGCACGCTCTTCAGAATCACGGTGTTAGGGGAGAGAGACACGGAGAAAGCAGGGCTCTAGTGGGTTTGGAGGAACCGGTTCCCTTTTCTACTTCCCAGGGAACTGTTCCCTTTATGACCCCCCCCCCCCCACCACACACACACACACACACTCTGTGTTA